GATTACTACAGTAGAACGATAACCACTGACATCCATTGGTAAGCTGCTTTTTAAGATTTGGGTAAAAATTAGCAATAAAAGCAACAAAGACTAATGGGGGAACCACAAGGGTTACAAGTTGAACTGTGATCCAAAGTTGTTGTGTAGCTTAAGAGCATGAATGTTTATGCAACAGAAAAATCCACTAAATTCAAAAGAATTTACTTCAAGGTAAGTTTCCATAACATACCATAGCAACTTTTAAGTCCCATATATCTTAACTGGAGAAAATAAAAAAACATCTTAACTTTCTCACCAAGATTAATGGGACATAAGAGTACTTAATCCTACCAAATCATTTTTTATATGAAAGTCAAAATACTCAGGATTCTGTTTCAAAGAAATACAGTTTGCAAATTGAATCCTGTTCTTGCTTGGCACCAACATGTTGATGATCTTCTATCCTTTCAGGAATTGCACAAGATGCTGTAATTTTCTGTATTTGCACTGAGGAGCCATTTTTTTTTTTGTAATCAAGGCTTAAGGCCAGTTATATGACTTTATTATCTTCATAAGGACCACCGCGATGGACAGTGGGAGAGTGTGTTTGGATAGATTTTTCTCAGTGGTGGGATTCAGCCGGTTTGCACCAGTTTGGCAGAACCGGTAGATAATTTTTTGTTGTCCAGACCCAGAACGGACTTCCGGAAGTGACATCCACACAGAGAACTGGTTGTTCACATATTTGAATGCCACCACTGGTTTTTCTGAATTGTATTTTCAATCTGTTATTTCCTGAGCCATAACTGGTTGTCTGCCTAGGGCCTGGTGCAGATTAAAGGCGAAAGGATGCATTATTAAATATTCATTTGACAGTAGAGGGGACATGTGTTGGCAGTTTTCTACATTTAAATCAAAGATCAAGAAAATCCATGTAACTTATCTCTAGAAGAAATCAGTTGACAGTAACTCTTCCCCTCATAAAAATCACTATAAATAAATGCTTCAATAGTTTATTGAAATCCCAGATTTCTAATCCTATCTTTATATCTACATAGATTATATTAGAATAGTGGTTTCTTTTGTTTTTTTGTTTCTAATAATTTTGCTCGTAACTTTCTCACCCACCCACTCAATGACTTTTCTCTTAATATATAGAGTTTTTTGTTAGTTTTACTGTGCATGGAACTGTAACACTTAATGGCTGATGGAATCAAGAGTTAAAGAGACTACTTTTAATGAATATTTAAATATGAGACTTATTTTAATAAACATTTATTTTAAAGGAAGTGGGAAGGTCTAAATATTTTGTGCGGGAGACTCCAGGTTTCGACGTGGGGTTGTTCCTAAGGTTTTTCATTTTCCTTCTATTTATAGCAAATAGGAGTTTATTTGTCTTTAGAAAAAACTAATTCTCTTCTTCATAGTAAATGTCACTGAGCATACAACTCTCGTAAGAAGGTATTTTCTTCCTCCTGAAAAATAGAACATATGGTATTTGGAAACCATCTCTGGAAAAAAATGAAACTTTGATTTGGGATTTTGCTGATTTGATAAGTTCGTCGTTATAGAAATGGCTAGTATATATTATTATATAAAAGTAAAAAGTTGAACGATCCAACCTGAGTTGGTCCGCAAGACCAGAGTTTTACACTTCCGAGCTTTTGGACTCGTGCTGGACTCCATCTGCAGGGAATTTATATATTTGCCCTCATTTAAGGCTGCAATGTTGTTTTCCTACTCCACTGCACTAAAAAGAGTCAGAAGTCAATACTTTTCTTTCTTTTTCCCCCCCTACACTTCTTTCTCTCCCTCTTCCATTTTCCCACTATTTTCATTGTCATTTGTATTTTATATTTTGATAAGTGTAATAAAGTTATTAAAACACTAGAACAGGGCTTTTCAACCAGTGGTACGGGTACCACTTGTGGTACATTGGCACCTGGCAGGTGGTACACAACCATCCTAGAAAAGTGGTAGCGGGGGAAGGGAATGAGCTGAACCGGTGGCAGCACCGCACAAGCCTGAGCGAGAGATGGCTGGAGCTGCAGGGCTGTCAGGGCTCAGCGGAAGCGCCAGGATCAGTGACAGGCTCCAGCTGGAGCTCAGCGCTGATCCTGGCGCTTCCGCTGAGCCCAGAAGAAGTGCCGATCAGCTGGAATGTTGCAGCCTCTCCAGGGTCTTGTGATTTACATTCAGATGCTTGGCAACTGATTCATATTTATGATGGTCACATTGTCCCAGGGTCATGTGAAGTGACCAAAACCTGCTGCAACCACCCAGCAGACGGGGGGAATAAAAACCAAACACCCCTCACCCCACCCCCGCTGCCAATCCTCAACAGAAATGCTCACAACAATGGAAACCTCGGACAGGAGGAAGAGCGCCGCTGGGTGGGCAGGCAGGTGTCTTGCTCAGCTGTGGCTTGGGGGGCACTTTTTTCAGTGCCATTGTAACTTCGAACAGTCACTAAGCGAACTGTTGTAAGTTGAGGACTACCTGTACTTCATCACTTTTTTCCTTTTTTTTTTTTTTTGGTCATCAAGTTTTTGACACCTTGCTAGGTGACTGGTGGTACTCAGATGTTGCCATATCCTAAAAGCGGTACAATGGGTGAAAAGGTTGAAAAGCCCTGCACTAGAACACACACTTCATTGTAGTTCAGATGGACTGCTGTTCCTCTAACAGCCACCCTCGGGAATAAATTTTAGGGAGGCCATGAGGCTGAGCCCTCATGTTGGGTTAGGCCGCCAAGGTAACTGAAGTAATCTAATGTGGTGATAAGAAAGGTAAAACAGCAATATTTTTCTTCTCTCCTAGCATTGGGATATTGTCATCCAGCAGCTATGTTTCAGTTAGCCAATTCTCTCTTGGGAAGAACCCCAACTGCAAGAACTCCTTCCTAGGGTCAACTATCGCAATGTTTGGTTGAAAAATGCCCTCAGGATATCGTTCAAACCCCTCCCCCACCCAATAAATTTGGCTATGTCGAAAAGAGCTTTGAAAACCTGGCTGTTTTCCCAGCCTGTGGCTTAGAATGGGTTAGTTAATCCTCTGGATTTGATAGTTTCTTTTCATGGTTGCCTTTCTCTAGGATTTGGAATTTTTATATGTATTTTACGATATTTTTTGCTGTGTGCCAGTTGGAGCCACTGTACAGTTGGACAGCCTTATAAATTTCTAATAAAGAAAAACAACAAAGTCACGCTCCTTCTGTTGTTCTCCAAGCAAAGATAATCCATCAGGTTTAAAAAGGCAGAGTCAACCTCACAGCTCAGTCTGAAGTCAGTGTGAGGTAGGCTGAGATAATTAGTTTTCTCCAGGACTGGAGGAAGCCCGACTGAGTTCAGTGGGACATAATTCTTGTAATTAAATTAAAGTTGAATGAAACAGCAGCAATATGGGCATTAATACATTTTTCTTCTCATTTTTCCCTGCCTTGAGATCTATGGTTAGTTTGTAATGTCTTATATGAAAAATGCAAAGAGGTGACATCATAATCAGGTCAAACTTCCCATTGGTTCTCGTTGCTGCTGTTGTTTTGCAAAAGGAATGGAACTGGATGATTGGCTATTGCTGAGTTCCTTTGCCTTTACCTTCTGACCAGTCAACAACTGTGTGGATGCAGGTGTGAACTGACACCTGCAAGATCTCAGAACTGGGCCCAACATGCAGCCAGGGCGGTTTTTCCCTCTACAATAAGGTACCCAACAGTTTTGGGTTTTGATAGGTGGACAGCAAATATGAAACTAGTCCATAAGAGAGAAAGACAACCAGTGGCAGGGCTGTACAGAGAATTTGACATGTGCTCAGCTGTGTGGATTTTTATTTTTCTCACAGGGAAAGTAATCGTGAGGAATTTCATTTTCCTCAAAGTGTGTTCAATCCTCTTCCTTGTAGAGACTAGTGGAAAAGTGCCCCCTGTAACTGAGATCGAGACTGACAATTCTTTCTAGAACATTGTATTAAGTAGGGATAGGTACTTTTATAATATATATTGTTAAATGCAAAACAGACAAACAAACAAATAATAAAAATGATCTATATTAATACAGCAGACTTTAAAAAGAAAAAAAAATCCAACAACCCGAACTCTCCTTTTCTTGAAGATGTGCTGCTTAGCATGATAAAGGTTATCCTTGGTTTGTTTTATTGCGGCTTAGATTATATATTCAAATAGCATGATTGCTTTAGCCTGATTCATTGTATTGCGTGACTCCAGAGAAATTAATTTAGAAGTCAAGTTTAAATATGTTGTGCGGACCAAGACTATGGAGATTAGTCAACAAAAATCTAATATGCTTCTTCCAACTGTTAATTATCCCCCTTTTTCCTCAGCCGCACAATAACATGAAAATCTGAAGCAGTAAATTCAATTAGCCACTGTTCTTATCTGAAATTAATAGCTTCAAAATGGGCAGAAGGAGCAACTAGTAGAACTGAACTGCTAGCCAAGAGGATGAAGGATATTAAATATTAATGGCTTTTTAAAAAAATGTTTAATGCTCTGATAAAGACTCACAGAATTGAGAAAGGGTGGAGAGTGAAATGGCAGATGACCCAGTTCATGCCAGAAGTGAAAAGCACCTCCCTACATGTAGATGGGGATCTTTGTTTAATTCTAATGTGTCTTAATTCCTACCCCCTCCCAGTTTTCCCTTCGTTTCTAAGAGATCAGCTCTAGGAAAGGAGTGGTATCAGCAGTTTTTTAATGGCTTTCTTTTTGATACAAAAATGCTAACATTAATCAACAGGGCACATGTAGGTTCATTCCCCCCCCATCTTTTTGGAGTGCTAATATATATTTGAGTAGCATGACATTTTCTTCTCTCTGTTGTAGGATCAACTATCCAACCATTTGCGTCTCCATATGGGCTTGCCCAATCTGGTGAATGGCCATGACCACCTGTAACTTCGGTTGAAAACTCAAACATTTTGGTTGAACATCTGGAGTCCTCTAATACATATCTGTTTGACTGTGTTTACATCCTCACCGCTCCTTCAGAAAACATCTCTTCAACATGGTGGAGTACTATGAAGCCCTGGGCCTTCCCAAGTCTGCTTCCTTAGATGATATTAAAAAAGCGTAAGTGCTTTTATACTTCTGTTGTTAACTTCCTTTTTTTCTAAGAGGATGTTGTCCGCCAGCCAATCAGTTCATGTAGGCGCTTTGAGAAGCAAGAAATTAGTTTTTAGTGAACTTCTTCTTATTACAAATGTTTCAATATTTTTTTTATTGAAAATTTTATAAAAATTTACAATATAAATCCCCCCCTTCCCCAACCCACCCTTCCACTCCCCCCTCCCTCCCCCCTCACTTCCCAGTGCCAATCACAGGGTTAACAATAAAATAATCATACTCTAAATAACATTAATCAACTATTAAAATAACATATCTATAACCTCCTTTGAAATGTTTCAATATTGAAAGCAAGAAGAGGTAGGTGGGCTTTAACATTGTAGAGTTTAATTAGTTTTTTCAAAAATATTTCAGAGAACAGATATTACATTTCAACAACACTGTAGCAAGTGCAGCAATCCTGTTAATCACACTAACCATCTTAAATTTTTTGATCTACTAAAAATATGTCCTAGTTTATCAGGTGGCATTAATAGGCATTATTTAAAAAAACCCTCTAAATAATAAAATCCACATACCACTCAGCGAAGTCTTGTCCCCGCTGCCCAGATACCATGTCCTTGGCTGCGCTGCTCCACATGGGCTGCTCTCAGGGGCGACTCTCCTCCGGGGGGGCTGCTGATGAGGGGGCCGTGGGGGGAGGCGGGTCTGGGGCAATGGCGTGCATCCCCACAGAGAGGGCTCTGAGTGCCGCCCCTGGCACGCATGCCATAGGTTCGCCACCACTGTGCTAGACTCTAAACAATTGGAGGGAGATAACTTTAAACAGTTTGAAATGAGTCTGCCTACTTGACTTCTCATCTAGTAGTTTCAGACTAGTGGAGAGGTTGTTGAAACCTACTTTTAAAAAATAGGGGGGGAAAAAATCCTGTGGAGCAGTAAAGTGTTCCCTGCTTTGTTCCAAAAAGCAGGTGGCAGAATTGCACAAATCCATTATACTTAAGAACTGCTGCCCACTTTAGCAACTTTGTGGTTGTCAATATATACTAACTCATTTTGTATCTGTTTCTCTGTGTGTGCATGCACATTAAAGGTACAGGAAGAAAGCTCTCAGGTGGCACCCAGATAAAAACCCAGAAAACAAACAATGTGCAGAACAGAGATTCAAGGAGATTGCAGAAGCATATGAAGTACTTTCAGACAGTAAGTATTCAAGCTCTCTTTTCGTGATTTAAACAGTGCCTCTTGAGGCATCTTGTATATTTGCCTCCTTGTTTTGGCACAAACCAATGTTTGGCATGTATTATTGCTCAACCAAATTCATTTAGTGCCTTTAATGTATTTGTCACAACAATGGGGAAGGGAGCCATTGTGACATATTGTCATAGTTACTTGTAAGTAGGTGCATCAATTTGAGCTCTAGACCTTATTTCTTGTAATACTAGTGCCTTGAATCCTCAAAGAAGGGTTCATTTTCTCCCACTGAAATCTAGAAGATAAATTCAGTCAGTATCTGCAGTGGGAAGTATACTTCGATATGTATATGTGTGGCATAGACCTGAGGTTCTTAAACTTAGTTGTTAAGGTAACCTCTAGTAAAATGATTAAGTTTTGTGGTTAGAATCTTATATGCACAAAGATGGGTAAATTTTGCAATGGAAGAATGGATGGTAAAGGTGATGAAGTAAGTGGAGATGGCAACATTGATTGTTTTAATTAAAGAAAATAATATTTTCTTTTCTACTTGCAAATTGCTTCTGGACTTTTTGTGCTAAACTAAAAAAATTGAAACTTTGATTTTAGGTTTGGATGATTAGAATGGTTTCATAATTATAGAAATAGCTTGAAATGTTATGAAAGGTAAAGTAAAAGATTGTATTCTTTTTGCATTCTACTGCATCAAAGAAAGTTGGAAGTCATTACTTTTCTCTCTTATTTTTCTAACGTTTGTTCCTTCTATATTTTTCCTTATAATGAAAATAAAAAATTATTAAAAAAATTGTGAATTTTTTATGCCATCACGTTTTTGTGGAACCTTTTGTGGAACACAGTTTGAAAAGCCCTTTGTTAATCTTAGATCTTATCCCTGCTTCTCCTTAGTACACTTACATAAGTCCTTGGAAGTCCTTAATCCATAGGAGAGGTTTCCAAATGCATATAATCACGTGGCCATATGTCTTTCCTACCTGGAATTTAAGCAGTGACCTTTTCATCTTGTTCCTGGGTCTCTATCCATTTGTCAGATTAGTCTCTACCTTCTTTATATGTGGGAAGCCAATGGTAGCTAATCCTATCGTTTATTCTACATCTTTCAATACTTGTTGTTCATTTCATAGAAGCTGGTGCCATTTAGCCATATTCTGGAAGGTCGTTCATTCAACTGATCCCTGCACTGAACTCCATTTGGTCAGATTCCTTATTTTTCCTTAAGATTAAGTCTCTGAGCTCAGCATGCAGGCAGTGGTTGCACTCTTTGTAACAAAGGCAGTCTGTTCAAAGTGCCATTGCCCTGCACATTCATTCTTGTGTGATTTACTTACCTTGGTTCATATGGTACTTATCAATTCTCAAGTTTAACTATGGGTAGTGGAGTACTGACAGAAAGTCCAAACCAGGACTTTCTGCATTCACTTACTATTTCACATAAGTATAGTGACTAGATGACACTGTAAAACAAAGCAAGCCAACAAAAAAACAGGGTTTCTGAAAACAGATGGAGAGCTAGATAAGGTCCTATTTTCCAACATGGGTACACAATGCTAAGCCATAATATAGTTTGGATGAATTTAATTTAGCATGAAGCAAGAACCTTGCTAGGATTGTTTGTAAACCACAGTCAATGTTTCATATATTATGTAAACTCAGTTCAGCAACCTAGCTTAGTGTATACGTTAACTAAGTCTTCTTTCTTACAGAGAACAAACGTGATGTCTATGACATCTATGGTAAGGAGGGACTTATGGGAAGAGGTAAGTGACATTGCAAAGAAAGCAAACACAATCACAATTCTAGAAGACAACACAACTGGAGCTGTATTTCTTTCTCAACCTTAGGTGTGCCCAGGAGACAAGAAGTTGAGAAAGGCACAAAACTAATAATTTAAAGACAGACATCTGTTAGAGATGTAAGGGATCCCCAGTCCAAAGGGAAAAAAAAACAAAGCACCAACTGTGAACTCCACAAAGTTGCAATTTTGCAGACAGAAAGATTGCTTTTTTAAGTGTTTGAATACGCTGCAGCTGAACCAGAAATAAATTACTTAACTGCCAGAATTACCCAACATAGAAGTCTGGAATTGATTCTTGAGTGATATGATATGAAAAACTCATGCAGAAATGCCCTTTAAAAAGAGTTTCAAGAGGCAGATACTCTAGTCTAGTACGTCACTGTGATTTCATCTGGCTTGGGTCAACAAATATTCAGAACTTAGGATTTTTTTTTTTTTTTAAAAAAAAGAGCTGTCCCTGCCTTGTGTTCCCCATCCATCACTTCTTATATTCTAAACATCTTTTTAAAAATATTTTACTAAATTTCAAGAAAACGTAAAATACAAAAAAGGGAAGTATTGCAGAAAATCACAGGACTCAGACCACGGAATCAAAAGAAGTTGATTTATTTGCGCAAAAGTTCAGAGCACTATTTTTGAACAGCTTCTCATAACAGCTTCTGAACAGCTTCTCATAACAAAACACACGTTTATATATTCTTGTCAGAAACAGCAAAACACGGAAATGTAACAGGTAGCATGGATTGGTTGCTTCGAATCACAGCCCCTGTACAGCATCCTTGCAGCCCCCTCCCCATATCCTGCCTAAACTGTGAAGCTCTCTAGCTATAGCGTCTAAACTTGTAACGTATTTGTGGTTAGCTATCGATGAGACATAAAGGCCTATGTGGTTAGCTGTAGCAAGAGCAGCAATTCTGACACCTTTGTGCGACCGACAATTGAACCTGGGGCTTGACATCTTTCCATTTCCTTTTGTTCTCCTTCTAACTAATACACATATTTAGAACTCATGTTCCTCTTTATAACTCATGTCTTGTATTATGTCCTGTAATACACGCATTTAAGTTTCATGTTTCGCTCCATGACCCAGGTCCTCCTGCCTTAGAAGGAAGTTCAAAAGGGGAAAAGATTTAAAAGTGAAAAAGGGGGGGGAGGGGAAATCAGACCTGGATATCTCCGAGACCGCCTTCTGCCTCAGATTACCTCCCATCGGCCGGTACGCTCCCACAGAGTGGGTCTCCTCAGGGTGCCGTCAGCCAGACAGTGCCAGCTGGCGACCCCCAGGGGGAGGGCCTTCTCGGTGGGAGCTCCCACCCTCTGGAACGAACTACCCCCAGAGATCCGGGTGATCCCGGATCTCCCTTCCTTCCGCCGCGCCCTTAAGACATGGCTATTTCAACTAGCAGGACTGGCCTAAGGGGAAATTTTTAGCGGGATTTTAAAAACAATTTTAAATTACAAAGGCCAANAAATGCCTCCAATTTTCCTCAATACAGAAATATTTAACCAGGTAATCTCTTATTTTAAGTTAAACATAACATAACTAATATCTCTAAATTTAATTATTCTGCATGTCTTTTCTGGGATGGAACATGTTTCAAACATGTTTTGGAATTTGTACCTCAAACTCACTCAGCCCAGCAGTTCTCTGCTGTTCATTAAAACAGGCCATCTTTTACTCAGGTCACGGTGAGGCTTCAAGAACCATCATCCTTTTTCCCAGATTTGTGCAGAGGAAGTAAGATAGCTTTAATGAACAGCAGAGAAGCATTCTGGAAGACTCCTGAGTTATTTTTGAAGTGTGCACAGCCCTGATCTTTTCCATTCTTTTACATCTTTCAGGTAGGCCAGGAGGATCTGCTGGAAACAATATTAGTTCTGAATATATGTTCCATTTCCGCAGTGCCCATGATATCTTTCGGGAATTTTTTGGGGGAAGGGACCCATTTTTTGGTAAGTAGTAATCCTGTTTGGTATTCAGAGAAACCCAAAGCCATCTTATCCGTTTGTACTAATTCATATACAGATAGTCCTTGACTTACAACCACAAGTGAGCCCCAAATTTCTGTTGTTAAGCGACACAGTTAAGTGAGTTCTGCTCCATTTTACAACTTTTCTTGACCCAGTTAAGTCAATCACTATAGTTGTTAATTTAGTAACAAGGTTGGTAGTGAATCTGGCTTCCCCGTCAGAAGGTTGCAAAAGGGAATCACATGACTCTAGGATACTGCAGCCGTCATAAATATGGGTCAATTGCCAAGCGTCTGAATTCTGATCACATGACCATGGGGATGCTGCAACGGTCGTGTGAAAAATAGTCACGTCACTTTTTTTCACTAACTTTGAAAATGTTGCAACTTTGAACGGTCACTAAACGAACTGTTGTAAATTGAGGACTACCTGTAATCTGCCTGCCCCACAATATGCCAGAAACAAGGATGAGCTGCAATTTAGATCCAAAATGGAAAAGGCATGTTGGAATTGCCATGGGCACTCTTATTATTTTTGGTAGTAACTCTTAAAAAAAAACAGTGTCTTTCTTATGCTTGTGGGGTGGCTGTACAGTCCCAGGAAAAGATGGATTAGATTTCTTCAAAGAGAAAGGACCAGGCAGAACAAACTGAACTGGAATTGCCAAAACATCCAGGGGTCAAATCAACTATTAGTTGAAGGGGGATGACAAATCCCTACTGTGTCTTTCCTTTCCTTTCCTTTCCTTTCCTTTCCTTTCCTTTCCTTTCCTTTCCTTTCCTTTCCTTTCCTTCTTCCTTCCTTCCTTCCTTTCTTTCTTTCATATCCAAGACCTAAATTTGCCAATTTATTTTTAGGAGATCCTATGGCTTTCACTAGCTGCACTGGAGGAAAAGGATTCAGTTTTTATTCTTCCTCAATGAACTTCATCAATGGCAAACAAATCACTACCAAAAGGTGAGGAAGGGATTATTCCAAAGCCAGCTAGAAGCTCCAAATGTGGCATAACCAGTGCTTTTTTTCTAAAAAAAAAAAAAAAAAAGGTGCCGGAATTCACACATGTCATACAACCCGCCTTGCCTACCCTACAAGGTTCCATCCAAAAAAGGTGCCGGAACTCCGTTCTCAGTGTTCTATGAGAAAAAAAGCCCTGGGCATAACTATTCCTTTTCCCCAAATTGCTTTCAGTAGTAGGCAGTGGTTATAAATGATTAGATCATGTGACCACAAAACCTGGTAAAAACCATCTTCCCCACTCTTTCTGTCATGGCTGCCACAGCCCAGTAGACTTGGGGTGCAGCAGGAAAATCCCCCACTCCACTTGTTTCTGATTTTGTTTATGATTGCTTTGTTCAAAGTGAAAGCATCTACCTTTCTCAAAAACAAGGCCTTATTTACAGCCTCTTGTAGTTTAAATAAAAGTTAGAACAGAGAATCTGATTTTCATCTCTGAAAAAGTATTATTTATTTCCCAGAATTATTGAGGATGGACAGGAGCGAGTGGAAGTTGAAGAAAATGGGGAACTTAAATCTGTTGTTGTTAATGGTAAGAAACTGAAACATAGAATCTTGCTTTGATCCAGCAGGAGTTATATAAACGGAGCTGTATTCTAGCCCAACCAGTTTGAAATTTTTATGCAATTCGGAGAAGAGCTGCTGCTGCTCTGAGTGAATGGAGTTTATTTCAGATACAGTATTGAAATTCTGCTTCTGCTCATTAAACATATCAACACTCAGAAGTCCCCACATATTTACTGCTTGCACACTGTCCAACATTTAGGAAATAGGGGATGCTTCATTCCATGAAATGATCCACTTAGGTCATTTTTGTGTTCATTCACAGCAGATTGCCAAGATTTTAGACTGGAGAGGCTGAAGGTTGAAGTTAATGTGCTTTCATTTAGCCATGTTCTATTCCTACATGGACAAACATCTCATATATTGTTTCCATTTAGTGTATAAGAAATATGTTATATTAAAGACGTGAGTGTAATACATGTGGATGGGCAAAAACATGAGTTCTTCTGACACAGAAAATCCAAGATGCAGGATTGGCCCGGTAGAAAATACTCTAAAGTGTTTTAGCGGAAAGATTCTTTGAGTTTTTTATTTGCTTGGAATAAATATTCCTAAATGTATCCCTGAATCAGAGAAGATTTCTCCTAAAATAGTAGACAACAATGTTAAGAAATTTAAAGACTTATTTTTCTAGGAACTGCCAAGCTAAAAAAATAATAATGATCCCATGATTAAAGAGAAATATATCTAAATTATGGCTAAAATCAGTGGCCATAACAGAATAACAAAGTTGGAAGGGACCTTGGAGGTCTTCTAGTCCAACCCCCTGCTCAGGCAGGAAACCCTATACCATTTCAGACAAATGGTTGTCCAATCTCTTCTTTAAAACTTCCTGTGTTGGAACATTCACAACTTCTGGAGGGAAGTTGTTCCACTGGTTGATTGTTCTGTCAGAAAAGTTCTCCTTAGTTCTAGGTTGCTTCACTCCTTGATTAGTTTCTATCCATTGCTTCTTGTTCTGCCTTCAGGTGCTTTGGAGAATAAGTTGACTCCCTCTTCTTTGTGCCATAATAAACCACATGCTCTCTAATACAGCAAACCTGACTTGGGAGGTTTGGTTCCTGGCATTCCTAGTAAAAATATGAGTTTTTGGAAAGGATAGACCGCTTTATGCCAGAAGACTCTAGCATAATCTGACTCAGGGCAAGGCAAGTTCCTATGTTCTAATTGACATTTAAAAATGGGGCATTTGTTTCTAGACGAGGGCATGAACTTGAATGCTAACATCAGAACGTCCTTCCTTTTTGCAGGTGTGCCAGCTGACAGAACACCAACTAGGGAAACAGGAGGGCATTTTATTCATAGTGTGCCCATCAGGTACAGGTCCTTACCTCAGTTTATTTACGACGAATATGACTCTGATCCTAACCGTAAGGTTCTTAAGGTGAGGCGCATCTTCCCTATTAAAAATACAAACAACACAGCAGGAGGAGAATCTCCTGAAGAGGACAGTAATTCTCACCAAGATGATGAGTTCCAGTCTGAGGATGATGAATCCAATATTGACGAATTCTAGCAGCAACCTGCATATAAATCAGACTTCGTATACTGGCGGTAAGTCAGGAGGAACATATCCTGTGACTGATGCGAATACTATGAAGACCCAGATGAGAAGAATTAATCAACCAGTAGATACCAAGTGGATCCTAGATGAAATTAGGCACCAGTGTGCTGGGGGAGACTGGCTAGCAAGAAGATGGTCCTTAAAAGAGGGGGGAAAAGAAGAGGAGGAGAATACTGAAGGATTAATGAAACTCTTAATCAGAGAAAAGAGTTCTTTGCCAAAGAGAACAGGATCATCCTCACATGTAACAAATCAACTCCACTATGGCTGATGAAGATTCTTGGGCAAAATCAAGTTCCTCTAAGTTTACTTAGCTACCAGTATAGAGAGAACATAAAATCATGGGATCCATTAGGAAGGAGACAAGCAAAGGGCAATGGGCTGTTTAATAAAGGTTGGGAACAGTGATTTTGTTTTCAGTATTCTTATGTAATCCATGTTGGAAGAGATACCTATGTTTTTCAAAAGAAAAGAATGTAGTCATGATATTTGAGTGGGAAGCTTCTTATAATATGAATAATATCAATAAAACAAGGTATTGTATTGGCTTGTAAGGGAAGCCTCTAGATCAGGGTCCCCAGCATCAGTCTGCGGCCTGCCAGGAACCAGGCTACAAACCGACCCATCTGCACACGTGGGATCCATGCAGCGCACGAAACCACACACTCCTGGACTGTGAAAAAAACAACCTCCATGGAAATGGTCCCTGGTGCCCAAAATGTTGAGGGCCACTGGTCTAGATTAAAGATCACGGCTTCCATGGAATAGTCTGAGTATGCTTGGGATAAAACTGGGCATAATGTGCTTGTGGCATACTTGCCAAACTGTGCCAAACTGACAGGACTGCCTTTTTCATAAGCAGGAATATTGCATGTGGCATGGGCATAATTAAGCTTGGTAATTTAGTTTACTCTTTCTTATTTAAAATGTTATATGAAAGTTTTGATTGATTAAAGTTATGATAGGTGGTGGAAATCAGTATCTTATGGATCCTATTGGTGTCAATCATGGCATATTGAAGATTGCAACCTGGAACGTAAGAGGAATAAATGGTAAAGAGTTAACAAATGAAATGAAAAAACAAAAATAATTACATATGTTTATGACATATATATGTGTATATGTGTTTGTGTATATATATATATACACACATTCTTGGAAAAGTAGATATGCAAGAAAAAGAAAAGTAAAATGAAAATGAAAACATAAGTTTTCAGGAAGTATGGAGTCCTGTATGAAAAAGTATTAGAAGACAGATTAATGTCTCTAGATATTAATTTGAAAGTAGATTCAAGGAAAGATTTGACATGGAAGCTGCTTGCAACAGTATGAAAGGAATTATAAAGTGCTACATAAGTGTGTGGAGTTAATGGGGAATATGAAAACAAATATGTAAAATTATGCTTTGTGGAATGCTAAAGTGGAAACAGCTGTGGATGATATAAATGTTTATAAAAATGACTACTGTCAAAAGAAATGACAGAAAGCTATTATATAATATATATGTATAGAGAAATAATTCTAAAGAAAAGTAGCAGAAGCCCTTCCAGTTTCTTGCCAGGCTGGTGCAATATGTCCCTTGCTTTCCCATCCTCTCCTGTAGTAGAGCAAAGTTTCCCATCCCTTTATTTTGGGAAGACATATTCTTGCTGCTTTGTTTCCATGAATCTGAACTGTCCACTCTTCTTTGCGACAAAGCTTCCATGAAAAATATTGTGAGATCCAGAGAATAATTTGTTCTCTAGTGCTTTGATTATTGTAACATCAGAGCAATGACCATACTAGAAATGAAAAATTAAAAGAAAGGATCTGTGTTAGCGTGAAGAGATATAAGGTAGGAAAGGTGAGTGGGGCAGAGAGTGAAGACATCCATGCACGCAAACCTCTGGAAATGCAAAGGTAAGGCATAGGGATTAATGAGAAGAGATAAGTCCCTAAAAGGAAAAGACAGCCCTTGGTAAATCAGTCCACACAGGAACTAGCCACCAAGACTTGTCTTCCTCACATGGATGGAAAAGTAAAAAGCAGGGGAATGATCCATCAGCTCTTATGGTAGCCCTAATTTGGACTGAGTCCCAGTCCAAGATTATTGGCAGTTGTGGCAATCCAGAGTGGAATTTCTGAAGCTGGCTCTAGAAACACCTAGGAGCAGCACAGGAGACAAGCAATTGTATGGAATTTCCCTTAACACTGTGCTTGTTACTTGTGGACAACCAATCACAAAACCTGAATGCAAGTGATAGGGCCCCTGACATCACAATTAACCCCTCCCTGTCATACCCCAGGTAAGTAGTCTTCAGAGATTATAACTCTGCCTACATGAGAAAAAGATAATACACAGGAAAATCTTTTTAGCACTGCCAGGTAGGACATAGGTTTCATCAGTTCGGTTTTGTAAATTGTGGCCAAAAGTGTTTGTCTTTAAAACACTTGCCTTTCAACAGGGCTCCATTCACTGTTTCTGTAGGAGAGGGCCTTAATACTCATTTGAAAGCAGGGCAGTCTTCATTCACAAAATGCTCAGGGCTGTGAAGATCTCTGCTCATTTTTTTCTATTGGATTACATAGTGGGAAATGGATCGCTGATTTCCTCTGCCATTAATGGCAAGAAATCAATATACTGGTCTCCACCAGCAAGTCAATTATCTGACTAGGAACCAGATCTTTGGTTTCTCACTGCTAATGACAATGTAATTTTAAAATCTGTAATAATCTGTTGTTTGGAAAAAAGGAAATTTCACTGCTTCCTCTTTCCTTTCAACACTCCTACTCAAGATTCCTAGGAAAGATGAGAGGAGATGTAAATGACCTTTGACATGGCAAACTGTTGCCGTCCCTGCCTCATTATTTAAAACAATCTTTATATGTACAAGGGCTTCATGTTCTTTCTTCTAGCAATCTTTAAAATTCATTCTAACTAAGAAAAAAACATGGCTGTCAAACAGAGGAGGAGAGATAAGATTATGGCTTTTAAGAAAATATGATACTAATACTTTATTATCGCACTTGATTTTTGTAAAACAATTCACTGCTAATATACCCTGCTTTTTGTTTTTATGATGTGGCTCTATCTGGCAGATAACTTTTTTTCAACCTGTCGTGATTTCCTCCAATTCTCAAATTTCTCCTTTGACTATTGTATTTCTATCTGCTTTGTAGTTGCTCTGAGTATGGATCAGCTACAGTTAAATGAATGAGCCAAGCTGATTCAAGAAGTTCAGAATTTAGATAAGTCTTTGAACTTTATCCACCTATAGTACCATGGGTGTCAAACTCGATGTATCATGTGACGTATTGTGACTTTTTTGCCTTTGTGGAGCCGTGATGGGCGTGGCCTGCACGTGACACATCTGGCCTGCGGGCTGCCAGTTTGACACCCCGACCTATACCTAACATACTGCAGATATGCCCTGATAAATTCTTTTTCTGTATTCTCCTGGTTTTTTTTTTAAGATTTGTATGACTGCTCATCTTAAACATAACTCTGGGTGGCTCACAGCAATAAAACCAAAAGCATAAAATCATAAAAACCCACAAAAACCTGGTACCCCCATCATCCCCTTGAAATGTCCCACAACCCGCCTCAATTATTGTCATTCTATCCAGCATCTGGTTTTTATGGTCTTCCGAAAGGTTAAGAGGGTGGGGACCAGCTGGATCACCAGAAAGTGGGTGTTCCATAATATAGGAGCAACCACATAAAAAGCATACTTCCAAAGTCCTAAGATTTTCCTCTATGATTTCAGGGATAGGACTTGGAATGTGCCTACCTCTCCAATCTGGTAGGAAGGTATTCTCAGGGAGAGGTGGTCCCAGAGATAACCTTGCTCCATGCCATGTAGGGCTTAAAAGGTGATAACCAGTACCTTGAATTCACCAGTACTCTCTGCATGTTGCTGCATTCTGGACCATTTGTAGCTTCCGAGTGGTCTTCAAGAGCAGTCCCATGTAAAGCACATGGCAGTAATCTAAGCAGATTGAATTTTGCTTTTATTTTATCTCCATTCTGTGAATGTGACAAGCTTAAATCTTCCTTGACTGTACAGGTATTTATACTGTTAGAAAAAAACCCCCAGTATGTTCTGAGCCAGATTTAAAGAATGCAGAAAGTAGGCAGTCACTTGAAACAGAGGACTTTATTTCCAAGAGCAATCAACTGTCAAAAGTGGCCACAAGTCAATTTTCTTGTTTTTGTAGGCACCCCTCAAATATGGAAGACTGCTATCATGTCTCCCTTAATCCTTATTTTCATTAGACTAAACATATCCAATTCCTATAATCGTTCTTCGTATGTTTTAGCCTCCAGCCTCCTAATCATTCTTGTTGCTCTTCTCTGTACTCTTTCCAGAATCTCAACATCTTTTTTATATTATGGTGAACTGGATGCAGTATTCCAAGTGTGGTCTTACTAAGGCTTTGTAAAGCGGTACTAGAACTTCACGTGATCTTGATTCTATCTCTCTATTAATGCAGCCTAGGATTTTGTGCTCCCCCCCCCCCGCTTATTTATCATTTCAACTGGCTTGCTGCTTAATTAACATTGTGATAAAAGTGACAGTCACACAGAAGGAAGAATCTCCTGTTCATTAAGGGTGAAATCTCTGTCATCTAAAAGAAACCTTTATCTGAATGGGCTGCTGCTTTTGGCCAATTTCAACCTTTTTGTCAAATTTATTACTTTTCGTTTTAGCATAAATTTTCACCTTTTGCCCTGGAAGTGGCTGTGAGGTTGGGATGTGAGGAACAAGGCAAGACTGAATGGCAGGGAAGACTGGATTTCCCTTCCACAATAAGTTTGTCACCCGTTGCCTTGAGAGAAGGCAGTAACCACATTGACTTGAGACAGAGACAATAGAAACAAGGTAAGTATGGCAACGTGGATAAAAGACATCATATTATTGTAGTATTATATTGATCTCACCATAGGTAGATAGCACTTAAAGTTCAGCAGT